TGTGTGTGTGTGTGTGTGTGTGTTGATTATAGATTAAAGAATAAGGGCATTGTATATAATAAACACACTTGTGTGTGCGCGCCATAACAAATACGATGGGGACAAAAGACGGACCCTAATTGGACCGAATATATACATTTTATACTCCCGTTCAGTTTTTAAATGACCCTTTAGCGAGACGATACTATTACGTACTGTGTATTGAAACGGGAAAAAACACGATCAAAATTCCTCGGCGCATTTATAAAAAAATTGATAATAAAATATAGTTTAAAATATTACAATATTATTATTATATCATATTAATACAATATTTGTATTTTTTAATACCACAATACCGACGATTTATAAACTCGCAAAGAGTTTTTATATATCAAATAAATAATATTGTCACGGTAAATCGTCGGTTTTCAAGTGTTACTACCTACGACTTATATGGAACTATGTGGAATTAATGCTATACTGGAAGACTAGCTGTAGTGATTTGCCATTTGCAACACGAAATGATCCAACGGGTTTAATGCGATTATAGAGGGTGCAAGGAAAGTGAAACGACGATAGCATATTATTATATCGCCATCATCACCCTACTGTAGTGTAGTCGGATTTGAAAAGAATACACGTCACGATCGACATGATAATAATATTATTATGTAATATAATAAACTGATCGACGTCGTCGAGTCGGAAATCAATCAGTATAATATTTTAATAGGAAACGTACGGCGATCATATAAATTGTCGTCTCAATGGTGTTATCGTAACAATATACAACTCGCACGCGATGAGTATACGTCAATAATCATAATCATAGTAATAATAATAATAATGATAATACCAATACTAATAATAGTAATAATATACCAATAAAGTGTTTTGCATACTACAAGACGTGTACTGTGTATAACACACACAAACACATAATATCACATACGACGGCACACGCGTATAATGGTAGGTATACATTACGCACTATCGCGGGGTCACTCGGCGCATTCGACGGATAGCCCCCGACCTGTGTGATTATAATAATATGACGTAATGCCATCTCGTGAGAAATTGTAATTTTACCAACCATCACTTAATACCTATATAATAATAATATTGTCCACCACCGCCACTGGTAGTCAAATGATATCATATTATTATTATTATCATTATTGTTGCGATAATGCTGGCGGTGGTCGCTACCGCAATGACAGCCGTCGCCCCCGTGTAATATATTATTTAATTGCGCGGGATCCTGGCCAATTAATTATTATTATTATTACAATATATGCGTTTGATGTGTAGCGTTTGTAACGTATGTGCGGTCGAGCTGCAGTGGCGTCCGCACAAGGACATGCACGATTAACAAATATTATAAATTATAATAGAAAGACGTACATATTATGCGATGTGTCGTTTTTTCATAAAATATATGACGTATAGCGAGTGTTGTGTCGTTGACTGTTCGTCGTCCGAGTAGGAAAAAACAATGAAATATTATAGGTGATCATCAGTCATTTATTTATTAGTAAAACGACGGAAAAAATTTACTGAACGAAGATCACAAAATTCTGGTTCGGTATATTAATAATATTTTCTGTTTAATCCATTTGCGATTCAAACCATTTTTAGCCGTTATTCTCTTGCGCTCCAAATCATAGCCCACATGCACATGTAAAACTAAGAAAAATTGTGTAACGTTGAAATTTATTGAGGTAAATCTTAATCGATAGAGTTTTTCTTATGATTTTCATACTGCGGATTATGAACTGTGTAGGTAACCTATGTATAGGTACAATCTACTACAATAATATAATAATATAATATTTAATGTAACTATTTCCATGTACAACTAAGTTGGTCAGTTTTTACTTTACCGTTAGTTTAACTTCAAAGTCATGTTTCTAGAGATGTTAGTTGTYATTGTGTTACACACAAAATTATGTCGAAACCAATAATTTAATAATAAAGTCAACCGAAACTTAAGCCATTTATGATGTTTATTAAAAAAAATTAAAATTACTGAAAAATACATATTATTAGGATAATAATATTAAACTAATTATACCTAGATAGTAAAAATAAGATGTTTGTGTGTCCAACTTAATTAATAGATATTTCTATTAATTATTCAATATTTATTTGTAAAGATATAATGGTACACAGTACAGCCTGTACTAACTAACTTATATAATACGTATATATTATGTAAAATGTAAATGTAGAATACAGGCGTATAGAATGATTCATTCGACGTATTATTTCGAAAATTATTAATTTTTTTCATTAAACATAACTGACAGTAATGGTGGAGAGCATTTGGGCTATAAATCAGAATGTAATTTTGTTTTAATTCTGAACGCAGATATCCACAACTCCATTATGTATGAGTTACTCAGGGGCGCAAATGGGCTTTACCTAACAATGTTATACTGCCGTTCTGATTTTGAGCTCGATATAATAAATCTGTATTATAGGTAAGTACATAGTTGTATGAACACACAAACTTAATAAATTGTGAGAGCTTGGTATTAGCGCGCACAATATATAACCATTACACAAACCTGTTCAGTGGGGCCCATTATCTTTTTGAAATGATAAAAATAAAATAAATAAATAAATAATAGATGTTATAATTGGCCCCTATAGTATACTGGACTTGTATAGAATCTACCGTGTAAGGATCGCGAATAACCAAAGGCAACTGCATTATTGTCGTGTCCCCCAATCATCATATTATGACGACGGATGTGGGATGTGAATTTATTGTTTAAATATTTCATAATACTACAATAGTATTGTCTCGAATACTTACCAATGATGTTGTTTTGTATGAAACGGTATCTTCGACTAATCGCCAAAAAACCTGCGAACACAAAATATGAGATATTGTATTATTGTATGCATATACTGAATAGGATTATGTCAACATACAGCATCAAAAGAGTAGGTACCTTATTTAAATATCCATGTATGATTGATTACGTTAAGTATATAAATTATTATATCAAAGGGTTTGCAAATGATTTCACCGGAAATAATCTACAGCATATATGTATTTATAAGTAGAATTAAAAATTTAAGCTGTACATATAAATCAGGCTGTGTATTGATGTAACAATTATAGTGACATTTTTCCTGAAAAGCTTCGAAATGTTTTTAATGAGCTGATCATAAATCGATCAGCTGCAGCAGTGATGTTAGAGGACTTGAGTGGTACAAGAAGGGGTTCTATCAGCTGGCAGTCTTCCAAGGGTTGGTGTTCAGTCTATTGTCTTTAAGCAAACAATTGGCTTGTTCTTGATGCGTACACATGCACACAACAACAAGCGAGCAGTCCGCTATTGGCCGGCAGTACTCTCGTGTGTATAACAATAATATATTATAATAATATAATCCATATGTGGAATATAATAATAATAATATGTTTTATTTGTCAGATGTACGATTATTTACAACTTCAACAAGACGATAGGAGAAGAAGACTCTCGACCGTATAAGTGTATAACAATATTATACACATAAATACGGTAAAACTGTTTTTATTATTTTTAATATCGTTATCACGTCGAATCCCAAAGACTAACTGTGGCTGACTAGTGACTATATATGTTTAGCGTACATAATAAATAAAATCTGCACATAAATTGCCATATGTCCGAGTACGAGCGGATTTTATTATTATTACTATAGTATTATTATTGTCGCTGTCGTTGTCTACACTATAAGCTCTTTGTCTTCTCCATGATTTCCATTCTCAGAGCACTATTCGATTTCATATGAAACGAATATACTATTATGCGCCCAATATCGTACTTTATTATACACTTTATAATGTATAGGTACTTCGAGATAGATAAAATATGAAAAAGAGATTATAGAGAATAATATTGTATCGGTGGTGGTATAGAAAGTTTGACCTCGAAATTATAATATAGATTTGAAAATTTAATTTCATTAGTCCCCGAGAGAATTCCATCACACACCACACAAAATAGGTAAATGTGGGTAAATTTACTATGTAGGTACCTACTATGTGCGTATAGACAGTATCTATATATTATTAGGTATACTATTTCCGATTTTATATTTGTAATTAAAAACATACATTAGTTCGAGTTAAGTTCTTTTCTATAAGTAGAAATTCAAATGTGTGTACTGCAGCAGCTATATGTCAATGGCTAATAACATAAATACAACTTAACCTTTTCAGTCTTTGCGAGATTATACCTTAAGAAGTTAAGTACACTGATCTAACTTAAAAGTTACAATAATAATTCTATTCAAAAAAATTAATTTGTGATATTCACAAATATTTTTAAGTGAGCCAATTTGTTATATAATGATATGATTGCAAGTCTTCAATATTATTGTGGAAAATAAACGAATACGAAATAACTATATAAATAGCGAACGACGATAATATTATATGAGATATCAATATATATTTTGTTTTTAAATAGGATTTGTGTATTTTATTCTTCAGTAGTATAATATTATATACTGACGTCGAGATAACTGATTTTAATAACGATCAAATATGTAATTAAGCGAGACCTATTTTAATTAAATGTATTCACACACGTTGACGATGTTAAACAAATTAGTTTTTGCAAAGTAATTTAAATAACTTGAAACATAATAAATTATCATATATAATATTATACAGATGAAATTGAAGGTTACAATATACACGTGCATAAACGTGAATACATTATTATAACGTTGTTGACAAATTGCATTTATGCAGTTTTTCTGTTGCACTCCTACTAATATAATATAAACAGTTGAATATAAATACGAATACATGGTATATGCATGTAAGAGCTGTAACAATACGATCAAGTATTCGATATTTTCATCTATTGTATAATGTATCTATTCTGTCATATTATTATTAGATCGCTGATAGCTAAATTATTAATATTTTATGGTCTTGTGATTTTTTTTCATCTTGGATTTGAATTCAAGGAAACCAAGTTGTCCACAAATTAATTTTAATATTATTCACCAGGAAAGTTAAATAAAAAATAATGTATAATTTGCACGATATGAATCTTTACTTGTGAAATATTATTATGATTCATTTGCCCTTGAGGACTTAAATCGAAAAAGTGTCTTTAAATAGCGATTTTTTTCAATAACGAATTGACTATTAGTATATGTTTCTGTTTCTAATTTTCTGCATCCTAAATTGGGAGATATTTACGATTTTACACTTTAATGATTTAATGAATATTATTGTTAGATGGTATGGTTATTTTGAAACAGTTGATCGATAGACATTGGTATATTATACTTATGGCAATTTTGTACAATGTACATCGATAATATGTAATTCTATCCATCACTGTAGAATCAATAAAATATTCAAAAGAATTAAATTGCACTAAGGAAATACATTCTCTTGCTGTGGTACGCTGTCTCTAAAAACAGTCTCAAATGTACATCATTATGAGTAAATGTTATTATTGAAGCCACTTCCTAAATGTTCAGAAGATTTTGCGGACTAAATTTTCTTCGAGACAATTCCAATATGACATGTTAAAATTTTGTTTTTAATAAATACGAAACGACGTGCAACCGGCAACTTTGTTTAGCAAGTTACGCGCATGTCAAAGTCATTCTAAATATGACAACGAGACTTAATGAATACGTTTAAAATATTCATTTTTAATTTCATTTTATTAAAACATTTTTATAACGATTGCATTAAATACAAAATATGTACATTGATTAATTAAATCAATTAAACATATTATTTTCTTTAACTGTTCTTATACCTAACTATTATATATAATAATATACGTATGTCTACCTATTGCTACTTAGCTTAAATAAATTATCTCAATTCTATTTCTTTTTATATTTAAACTTTAGTTGGTATAGGTATTTTAGTTTTCACTAAAATGTTATACTTTTATAGTGATTTCCAAAAAACAGTTTTTGATTTATTTGAAGTCAGAGAAAGACCGTTTAAAATGTACTATAATCATTTACGGTAATTTATTACATTGGCTTATAAATTAAAACACTAATCATCATTGTTCAGTTGTAGTATTATAGTCTTTAAAAGGGGGAAAAGTTTTGTCGGGAATCGAAATAAATAAAATAAACACTTTAATTTTTTTTATTTAGATAGTTTTTGGTAGAAGTTCGAACAATTCAGTTAAGTATAGTAATTCAATTAAAGTTCTAAATTGTTGAATAATATTGACATGGGGTATTGTCATGAGTACATGTCTTACAATAAATTGTGTATATGTATATACATAACCTAATACTAGTCCACAAACGAGATTAGAATTTAAGATCAATACAGTCTTTATTCGACTTTTCATTTGGAATCACGCAAAAATGCTCGAAGGAGAGTGGTTTATATATGTTTTATCCAGAATGAATTTTCAACGCAGCAKCATTCCTTGACTTGTTAAATAAAACCAATAAAATTTACGACCTCGAATTCAATCTTTATTACACCTTCGACGTAACCACACGCGTAGGTATATATTATTCCAAACCATTGTATATATATATTCTTGATAAAAGCTGGTTCGCTTAAAAGTGAAACTCACGCGCCCTTAAAACACTTTGTGAAAACTTTTTTGGTTTTCTCAACTTTTTCACTGGGTCAATATTCGATTTTAGTCTTACACGATTGATCACCAAATATTCGTGTGTTCGCTCTCTTTAGACATACATATATATATATATATAGAGTTTAACGTGCATACGTGTATATATAACTTCGTAAAGTTTTACGCTCGTGAACGCGGCCGCTATATTATGGTTTTAGTTTAGTCCGTTTTAATGTTTTCCATCACGAAATTTAAGTTTCTTAAGGGTTTATTGTTTGTGCTTTGTTTTTTTCCGCAACGGGGGCGTGTTCGTGGGGGATGACTCGCGACAGGCCGAGAAACAAGCGTTTCGTACATATTATTACGTTAATTAGCTGATTTTTCTCGGTAAAAATCAAACTTAGGAATAAATTAAACAATAATGTTATATCGATTCGCGACACGCTTAATTCGTGAATATTAATAATATTATGTCAGAAATGTGACTGCTCCAATCAATGCAAGTCCACAAAAGCTGATAACCCGGTCAGCTGCGTGATGGCTTGTCGATATAACATTTTAACAATGTGATTTTAAGAGTTGGAATTTTTGAACAAATCCTATTTTTCCTCGTCGGTGCACACTCGTCGTAAATCACAACACGATGTACTATTCATTCATAAAATAGCGATGGAAAAAATAATAATACATATGGTCACGTATTATACACGCGTAGATATAATAATTTACTATTCAAATTTTTGACCAATTTACAGAAAAAAACGTTTATTTCGCTTCTCATTCTCTTTTGTCGCCGCTGCATACGATATCGTATTATAATCTGCCACGACAATAACAATTATGACCACATTGTACGAATAACGTAATTATCACGCGCCGATGACGTCACTGTATTTGCTTTTATATATATATATATATATATGTATGCACCTATTATTGACAATGTGACATTGTATAGATATTAGCCATGTTATAGACTGATGTTCCTGGTGGCCAACAGCTAGTACGATACTCATAGTAGGTATAATACCATGGATGCGAAGGATGCGGAGTCACAGCCATTACGATTTTTATTTATGTAGAATATTATATATAGGTACTTATGTCATAATATTGGGTACCAAGAGCATATATTTTAATATTTTGAGTAGTATACATGAGCGAAAAGCTAATAATAATAATAATTATAATATATAAGCTAATACGCTGGACAAAATAGAACGAAATAAACAATACATAATTTAGTAGCTCGTATACATTTTAATAACGGTGTTTCTACATAAATATACACTTCGAATATTATACTGTGTCTCATCGCGTGTCGGTCCGCGAACATAATATTAAACAACTCACCCACCCATCGACTGCCTAAACTTTGATACCGGTATTACTATTTGAATACTTAATGAAAATCAGTATTTCAGCTTTTAAAACATTTTGCATAAATTAACCCCTATATAATATTTATTAGCCGTCTCAGATTTGTAAGTAACATAAAACAGAGATTTTACTTTGTAAATTTTGAGTTTTACTTTTTTTTTACAGTAATTATTTTTATTACACAACAAGTTTTCGAAATATAATGAGATTTCTAACAAAAACAGTGTAGTTGGATATAATATTTAAACATGGTTAGTTAGGTAATGATTCAATAACACGAAATTAATAATTGTTAATTAATATTTATGAATAAACATAAAGTGTAATACGTACCTACAAGTTTTTTATCGAAAAAATCATGCTATTTTTCGAAATAACATGATACTATGAATTTCAAGACATATTTTTAATATGCGTTGGTAATAAGTGCATTAATAATGTCATGTATAACCAAAACTTGCTAGATGAAACTAAATTATATCGGGTTATGAGTTATGACAACGATAATATATTATATATATATATTATATGATTTATAAATCATATAATTACCATCGTAATATTATACAGTTGTAGACTACAACTTGTAGTCTTGTAGAGTTTTACTTACGAATTCTTGTTTGTGTTTTTCGTACTACATATTTTGCTTCATAAAAATCATTATGCAGGTTCACGTCATCAATTTCTGAAAAAAAAAAATAAAAAAAATTAAGTGCCCGTCTTGTAATAATAATTATTGCTTAAGTGATTATGCTACGAGTTATACAAATCGGATACAATTTACAATTATAATATACACTGCGCTAATTATACATATTAAAATAATATTATAGTGACTACATTATAATACACCCGTAAACGGCATAAACGTATTAGGTAAACAACAATTAAATCATCATATTACATTTAGCCGATTACTTACGCATAGGTATATAATTAATGATATCGTTGTGTAAGAACTAAGAATACGGTAAAATAGGCATATGCGACCAGAAGTTCACGTGCACGAGATGCCTTTATTAATGACATCGTCAAAATATCATAATTTACCTATTCGATATTTGACGAGATGTTAATAATAATTTAATGTCGCCATGATATTCGTTTGTTGTGCATAAAAAACAATAGTCATTAATACTATATTTAAAATTTCTCACACTGAAAAAATTTTCGCTTTGTGATTTGTAACCATTTTTTTTTCTTACTCTATGTCATCACATTTACCTAAACTCTATAACCTAGTTAAAAAAAAAAAATCATGGTATAGCCGTTTCCCGTGGCCATCGTTTTGTGGCACACAGGCATAGAACACGTTTAATTTGCGTTTTCTTTGATTTTTTTCTCACAGACCGAAAGATTTTGGGAAATCATCTCCACGATTCGTCAAAGACGCTAAGACAATGTCCCGACATTATATTATATAGTGTAGGTAACACCTATAACGCATAATATATTTTAAGCGTTTGGAATTCAGTCCGTACGCACTGTGCAGACAATATATTATACATCCACCCACCCGCTCGCATACTCTTATTATTATTATTTCTTTAGCCTCGTTTACCCGGAGATGTGTATCTGCGCACTCGTAAGCCCTGGAGCCAGAAAATTCCCTGTATTCGCGCTAATGACGAACACTCGACCTGAACCCGACTGCAGCAGACGATTCCCACACCGTTTGCGTCACGATCTATATTATTATAGTGCGTATATAGTAGGTATATAAAATACATAGGTATATAATATTCTAATATGCAACAACGTCTCAGGGGCAAGCGGGTGGCCCGCGATCACGGAATCGACGTATAAATCACGGTCTCAATAATATATTATACGCATATGCCTATAATATAATTGCAATACTGTAGGTGCCTATGCATTTGTGTGTGAATGTGCTTCAAATGCATATATTATTGTAACAAGATGACCGTTATGAGCGTAATATATAAATAAAATAAAACTGGGATAAACAATTTTGATATTATTGGTACCTACTTTGTGAAAAATACCTCTACATTTGATTAATAATTTATTATAACTATAAGAACATGAATCGGACGGCCAGCTGAAATGTAATGTCGGAAACTTGCCTAACTAGAATATGATGCCAATAACAGACTATATTTTCATGTTTTTCATAAAATAGAAATGTTCATAACATATTAACAAAAAAAGTGAAAAAGAAAAAGAAAAACGGGCCGAATTATCGAGACTGGATAATGATGTAAATGAGCTAAACATATTACCGAAATGTGTTCACAAAACAATAACTCATATTATGTAAGTATAGTCGATAGATTTTGAGAAAATTGAGGAGCTTTGGAGAGGAGGTGTGTCTTTGTACTTGGTGACCCCATGTATGATAACTTTATGCTTGCTGTATATACACATTACACATAGCTTACATAGACAACATATTGTTATGATTGATACATTTTATTCCACGGACATCCGATTCGACTGGTCTTGATATTGAAACAACCGTCGGAGATGAACTAATGAATTATCGTCAAGGTCGTCAGTGATACCAATATTCGTTTGTTTGTTCTGTTACACTAAAAACAAATTTCGATCGAAACGAGCGCCAAAAACTGCAGAGCAACGGCCGTGAAACAACTCGTTGGTGTCAAAAGAAAACATTCGTGTCCCAGTATAATAATATTATACCTAATATAGGTATATAAAAATATTATTTGTGATGAAAATAAATAAAAAGGAGAAAACTGCGACAAAAAATCAAATCAGCTGGTAGCCCACCTACCTATATACTATTATATATTTTGTGTGGAACGTATTATTGCTATATATGGTTTTTTTGTACATATATTTATTATATATTACTATTCACAACACATAGCATCATACAGGTTCACGGCTGCAGTCGTAAACACGTGCGAGCGATAAATGACAATGCATACCTAATATTATTATTATATATTATACAGGATGATTTACCGCAACATTTTTACACTCACTACCATTTTATCATTTGATTATACACTATGCGAATTCTGATATTTTAAATTTTAAATTATTCTCAAAGAACCATTATATTATATAATAAAAATTGCCTCGAGTTATTAAACTTGAAGTATCTACTAAGGATTACGTATTCCACGTGCAGATTGTATGTTTAGATGGTATAATGAAGGAATAGTGATTTTAAAATTATAGTAATTAATATAGAATATAGATTTAATACAACTTGGTATATAATTTGTTAAATTGAGCGAGAATAATAACTAAACATTCCATATATTTTATAATTTATGTAAGACCATTATACTAATGATAATTGTTTTAAGTACACAAACTTGCAGATCAGAAACTATTCATTCAAGCTTTGATTCAAAATTTGTAAAATAATATTACTGTATAAACGATTACTGTTTTGCAGTAAAAATAATTGTTTCTCATTTGTTAAAAAGAATCGTGCAGTATCACCACTGGATAATACTTAAATTTTATAAAAAATCTATGTAGGTACCTATTTGAAAATGAGGGATTTTTAAGTATGCCAACCTACTTAAATTGGAATTGGAAAAATTCATTATTAAAGGATTAAAGAGAGTGAATTGTCTTGTGCATTATTGCAACATAATAATATGGTACGAAACATTTTTAATATTTAACGTAAAAACGCGAGTGCGACGGTAGTATAAGATGTAGGTATATAGGTACTATAATGCATATTATTATGATTCATAGGTCATAAACATTTAGGACATACCATCTACAACAATATAATATATTATATTATTACCTATAATATACTGGTAATAGGTTATATTATATAATCTAAAATACCTACACCGATTGCCGCCAATATTTTACCGCATATAATGATAATGAAGTTGTTATAATATGTTTATAAGCCCAGTAATATAAGAGCGCTTGCTATCGTGGTATTACCTACAGTGATGCGGAACGGAAAAAAGTCGTATGAAAATAATATTCTTCTTCTTATTATTATTTAAAAATTACGATTATTAGTTATTAGTGTTATTACTATTCAAAACGCGAAGTGTGCGTATGCGCGCGCTTGCAATTTACAGCCTTGCATTGCGGCTAACCACTCGTCGTCCGTTTAATTAAACAACCTTGACCGTCCTATATATCTAATATGTTGCCGTGCGCAACAGTACAAAATATAAACTGTAATGCGAATATACGAACGGAGTGAAAACCGAAAAATAAATTGCACTTTGTCGTTATGCAACAAAATTTGTAAAATTCTAACTAGGTACTCCGTTCCGGTAAACACCGTGGTGGTACCTACCGTGGAAATAACCTAAACGTAGCGTTGGTGCTGGCGAACACGTACTTAAATAATAAATAATGTTATTATTTAGGTATAAAAAACATTTATACGCGTAAAACCGCGAATCATCGCAGGTTAAGTCATAACGATATTATAATCTGTTGTTATTATTATTATGATATTTTATTATATTATTTAAATGCGTCGGCAACAAATATAGGGCACTCGAAATATGGACGATTTTCGGGCTGAAATTCTCCAAAGTTTTGCTATTGTTTAATAAAATAACGACGTCGTGACCGCTTTATAGTAGATTTTAATGAAATATTTCGGCAAAGTTTCGTATAAGTTTGCAATGGTAGTTGAGTGATACGCGTCAAGTTATAAATGAAAATTTCAAATACAAAAAAAAAAACTGGTCAAGACTGTTGTTGTTAGATCTCAAAAAACGTAGCCCTTTACGCGGGTTTTAAATAAAATTGCATTAGTGGGAGATCAGAGATGTATTTTTTTCGGAAACTAACAAATAAAATAATATATAGTATTAAATAATACAATAATAATATGTATGTACATAATATAGTACGTTTTTGGCAACAGTGCATTATATTTTAATATTATAATATTATTATAACAGATGTCACGGGAACAACCACTTCCCGTAACTCGATAACTCTGCATAATTGTTAGGAATATTATGATTAATATTATTGACGAACATATTGTTTTCAGTGATTGGAGTGTTTGCATATCGATTGTCGCCAATACAATTTCATATTATGCTACATTTAATAATATACATTAGGTGTATCAGAATCGAGATGGCCAACTGCACTCCGGTTGTAATCAACATATTTTGATGCAACAACAACAATAATAATGATAACGATAATATAATACAAATTAAGTACCTATCGACTCCCATATAGTTGCGGTATCCAACCATAATATTTTAATGAGCGATTTATAATTTATAATAAGTAATAATATTACGACAATCTCGCGCATTAATATATAATAATATATTATAATATRTGACTGCACCGTGGCGGTGTTCGTGTGTTGTACTACATCAGTTGTTGTTGTACACTGTGCACACTATACACATACGAATACACAACAGTAATAATAATAATACGATATATTTTATTGTGCKYCGTGAGCTTGTACATGCGTTAGCACATACAACGCGGTCGATAGTGCGATCATTAACCAGCGTGAGATCGGTAAATCTGTCGGCGCGCGCGAATAACGAGTATGATATATATATATATATATATATATAATATTATTGTATGATATAATAGCGATGTGCTGTTGCTGATGAATAATAATATACCTGTATTGTAATAGGCGGTCTCCGTGGTGATTATTATATTTTGTATTTTGTTGCATTTCGACGACGAAAAACGCACCACAATAAGTAG